TCTGTTTCTATTCGTTTTAAACAACCCACAACAGTCAGGCAGTTGGTTTTTTTTTTTAAAAAGAAAATTTTCTCTTGACCTTTATGATCCTTTGAGTGTGTAAAGGTAAATAATTATTGTCGGCTGTTGAGTAGTCATCCGTAAAGCCATTCATCTAACAACATTTTTAATAAAGCTAACATGCTTGTCGAGAAGAGAGTGGTAGGGGAAAAGAACGGCATAAAATGAACAATAGAAAAAGGTTCCTTTGAAAGTGATGTATTTTATTATGAATGAATCTGCTGCAGGTTTACTAAGGGAAAGCAGTTCTGCCCATCGTCTTTCAGAGGAGCCTCTCTGAATAAAGTGTGGTTGTGGAAACCAGCGATGTTTTCCTTTGCTCTGATGCGACAAAGAGCTTTGTTGCATGTGGAAATTTTGTGAAAGAAAATATCGCTCTGCGGTTTTTCTTTGTTTATTCCCCAGATAAGGGAAGAGCCTGGCAGTGGGCTGTTCACAGGGTCAGCTGTGCTGGAGGGCACCCCCGGGTGCACCCCCAGCCCTGTTTCCGGGTGGGTCGGGTGTGAAGGAGAAGCAAATCTGGGACACTGGACCCCGCGGAGCCGTTGCGCCCGGTGGCTGCCCCCGACGCGTTCAGCCCGCGGCCCCCCGGGGGTTTGGTGGGGGCGGCCCCGGAGCCGGGCTGGGTCAGCACAGCTCGCCGGCATTGGGGCAGGGGGTGGCTGCTTTTGGGGGGCTGCATGAAGTTATGGGGGGGCTCCTGCCCATCCACCAGGAGGGCTCAGGGACAGCCCTGGGAGGACAGAATCAACTGGTTCTCATCAAAATAAACGGTAAGTGAGGGTGATCTCTGAAGACCTGCCTGACCCCAAACGCCAGGTGAAGGATCACCAGCTGAGACAGCAGCGCGAGCCTGGGAGATCGGGAGGTGAGGTAACAACAGGCAATTTTACTTCCAAAGAATCACTTTGTGTTCAAGCGAGCAGTAAGCTCGATTTTGGCAGCAAGAGAGCCACGCAGACGTAAATATATGCATCCCATCTGCGGGACTGGCTGCTTGCTCTGAGGCTGCGTCCGCAGAAAGACTGATTTTTCACTGTTATAAAAGAGTGGGTGAGGGATGGAGGGGAAGCAGCGGTGCCTGTCCCGGCCCCGGAGGTGTTGCTGGTTGGGTGATATCATTGACCACAGGGACGTTTTTGCAACCGGTTCCCAGCAGTGCCAGGACACAGACTAACCGAGGGCCACAGAGACTCCCTGGGGGAACTGGGGGAACTGGCGGGTGGATGCAGAGGAGCCTCAGAATGTCTGCGCTCAGCACGCGCGGTGAGCCAGGGCGAGGGGCAGAGAGACTGCGTGGGCCTGTGACCCAAGCCGCCTCATTTCGAGGCAGCTTTCTCAGTCTTTGTGGCCAGTAGAGACAAAACTATGTTTGACAGAGATGCCAGGCTGGACATCTGACTTACACAGAGTGTCCTGAAATATGGATAAGTCCCTTTCCTCCTGCCTATGCTCCTCATTAGCACCCCGGGAGGTGACAGCTGCGGTAAATTTCTGATTAGATTAGAACAAAAATCATGATTTTAGCTGACCACATCCATCCAACAAAGTAATCCACACCCAACCTGACGAATCACATTGCCTGGATTTGACTCCCTCTTTGAGCCATCCGTCTGCAGCCTCCGGATCCACAAACAAATGTGATTTTCTAACCGGGGCACCAAAACCAGCCCCAGGAAAAGGCAGACTCCTTTCTGTGAGGCATTTTCACACGAAGGCAAGTGAGCTGCTGACCTTATGGCGTCTGACCGACTTTCACAAGCTGCAGCAACTTCACCTGACACCGGGTGGCCTCCCCTAAGTGTGAAATTTCCTCCTGTCCTTTGAAGATTAAAGGAAAGCAAAGATAACTTCCAGGTTTATCACGGAAACTAAAACCCCTACCCCAGGGATTATCTCGGGCCTCCCTCCCTGACAGCGCTTAGTATTTCTCAGGCTCTTCCCAGGCTGACCCCAGGGGCAGCAGGACATCCTTCTCCTCTCACACCCGAGCTGGCAGGCTTCACTGGTGCAGCTTTTCACAGTTCGGTCCAGATGATGGGCATCGTTTTTACCTTTTCCAGCCCTGCAGCGAAGCGTCTTGCTGTTTATTCTACATTATGTCATCTTGCTCTGGCCCTCTGTGCCTGCTGTCTCCCCTGGCATCCTCAGCTGCCTCCTGGAGCAGGGCTGAAGAGAGGGAAATGGGAAGAGAAACTGAGAAACCGAGATGGGAACACTGTCTGAAGCCTCTTGGCAGCCACCCTGCTGTCTGCAGACATCCTCCACTTGTCCCAGTGACCTTTCCCCACGATCCCAGGAGCCAGAGCATCGAGCAGGGCAGTGGCCGGTTATGCAAAAGGCTTTTGCTTCCTTCCCCCTTCCTCACCATGCATGTGGCAAAGATATGTCCCCATGATGTCACATTCAAGTCCACAAAAGCTCCTTGCAGCTGGGTTTGGTAATCAGAACAGCCAGAAGCCACTTTAGCACTTAGTAAAACAGGGAACAACACACCCTCTCCTTCTCCCTTCTCCCCACCGGTGGCCCCTGATCAATTCTCTCGAGCATATCCGCCTGCATATGTCACGCTAACTGCCAGAAAACCAGCTGCTCTTCACAGCTGGATTTAGTAAACTGAACCATGTCAATGCTTTAGCTCTCGGTAGCACACAGATTTCTTGCCACCCACCCAGGGCTCCCGTCACCTGCTTCCTGGCAGAGCGACTGCGCTACCCCTCGGTGTCTGGCTGAAAGCACTGCCCGACTGGTCTTGTTTTTAACTAAGTAAAACGTTCTGTCCTGGGGGCTGGAAACAAAGAAAAAAAACCCCAACAAACTCTCTTGTGTGATATGGAACATATGGCCTCGCAAGCACAGTACAATAAATAGATCAAGGTAGCGAGACGGTGTGCTCGGGATAGCCTTTGTCCATGGGTCTGCTGCGCACTGCAAACGTATGAGAAAAGCTTTATGCCTTTCTCGGAATGAGATCGATATCATTACCCCTGATGCAAGGCAGGATGCAAAGACATACGGACAAGCCTGAGAGAAACATTTAGAGAGAAATTCAGGTCCACTCTAGCAGCAAAATGCTTCTTGCCTGAGCAAAGCCACATCAGCAAAGCTCTGCTTTGTACTAACAGAGCGGAAACATCATCTGCAGGAGAAATGAGCTGTGCTGCGGAAAACACAGTTTTACTGTTACAATCCTTTTTTATATACTCAAGGGATCTGTCTGGTCAGCTCGGTCAGTCCAGGTCTCGCTCCCTTCCCTATGCATTTGACAAATGTGACTGTGCCAGCAGGAGTGTGCAGAGCAGCTGCATCGCTTGCCCTGGAAAGCCGAGGGCAGAGCCCACAGTCGATCCCAGGCTGCCTGACCCCCGGGCTCGCTGTTAGCCACAGTAATTACTCAGGGCAACGTGAACATTGCTAGGGAGACTGTGGGCTGAAAGCTTCACTAGGAGACGAACACGCACAGTTCTGCTTCATCCCTGTTAGAAATCTGCTTCATCTTGGCCAGGCTCTCGGGGCCCAGCCGGATGGCATTTAATGGTCATGCTGGAATCCGTGTCAATTGATTTTCCAGTGAACTTGACTTCACATGATTGGAGGCATTGGAACAGAGAGGATATACCCGTTGTTCCAGTTTGAATCCTGTGGACCTCATATTCCATTTCAATGCAGCTTCAAGTTTAACTCCAATTATAACAAATGGTTCCTTAAAATAGAGATTTAACATAAAGATTCATCCAGGGCATGATCTGAAGCCCATTGTGTGCAGGAGCTGTCGGCAATAGGCTTTGGATCAGGGCCTGGAGGCAGCTTGCAATGTATGGGCAATTTAATAACGAGAGATGACTCACTATCAAATGCTGCCTGCTTTACAAAGGAGTCTTAGAAATGGGGTATCTGTGTGACAGAAATAAATCACTATTCACACACACACACTAAAAAAAGAGAGCCCGTGAAAAACTACATTATCACTTCACTTGGGAAACTTAAGCCTCACCTGACGAAAGCTTACTTATGTGAGCAGCTTTACTAACATGAGTAGCTCAGTAAAACCAAGTCTGGAAAAATGGTTACGC